GCACGGCCTGTTGGGATAATTTAAGCTTGACAGTTCAAGGCCTATGAAACCAGAACCAGGGTTCAGGAGCATCCTCTGTTTTTCAGGCCCTTAATTAAGGAAAAGTTGAGCCAGGGTGTGACCCTCATCGTGGACAGATATGCATTTTCTGGTGTGGCCTTCACTGGTGCCAAGGAGGTGAGTGCCACTTGGCCTCCTGTCGGGCGAGCACAGGTGTGTAGACCCAGGACTGCCCTTGAATGCGAGTACGAGTGACATGCCTCCGATTACTCTGCAGAGTTTTGTGATTCTTACATTCCTTTTATCCCTTTGCTAGATTAATTTGGTTTTATCAATAAGAAGAGCAAACATTTATGCAGCTAGAGATTGTTTCACAGATAGAACCACAGTTGTTATTTGGATTATATTTTCCACATGCTTTTCTTTTTTTTTTTCTTTGAGACGGAGTCTCATTCTGTCACCCAGGCTGGGTGCAGTGGTGCGATCTCAGCTCATTGCAACCTCTGCCTCCTGGGTTCAAGCGATTATCGTGCCTCAGTCTCCCGTGTATCTGGGATTATAGGCACACGCCACCGTGCCCAGCTAATTTTTGTATTTTTAGTAGAGACGGGGTTTTCCCATGTTGGCCAGGCTGATCTCAAACTCCTGACCTCAAGTGATCCACTCATCTCGGCCTCCCAAAGTGCTGGGATGACAGGCGTGAGCCACTGCGCCCAGCGCCCAGATGCATTTTCAAAGATGGTTCATTTGTAGTACTTTTTTTTCCTCTTTTTTTGCAAGAGGGGGTCTCCCTCTGTTGCCCAGGCTGGAGTGCAGTGGAACAATCAAAGCTTGCTGTAACCTTCAACTCTTGGGCCCAAGTCATCCTCCTGCCTCAGCCCCTCAAAGTGCTGGGATTACAGCTGTGAGCCACTGCGCCCAGCTCTGTCCTTTAAAGAGACAGTAAAAAGAAAGATAATGTGGTTATTTTTCATGATAACCGCCCTCACTTTTTATTTTTATTTTATTTTTGGATGGAGTCTCGCTCTGTCACCCAGGCTGGAGTGCAGTACGAGTGGTGCGATCT